CAAACTTTTGAGGTTCATATATCAAGAAAAAAAAGAAGTATAAAACTAACTGGCTTGCATTACAAAATCAAAAAGGGAAAGTGTAAATAAAATGTACATTTGTCTACTTAAAAAAACTGTAGGTACATAATCATAGTGTCACTTAAAATGTACATACAGAAATTGGCACAGTGACTGTTAGTTCATTGTTTAATTCCTCCCCTTGCAGTTTTAATTAAAAAACCCATAGTACATGATAAAAACCAGCTAGAATGACCTATATAGCTGGAAATGGTTTAGCTGGGAGCAGTTTTCACCAGGGATGCAGGAAATAGACGCATAGCAACGTAGTCGTCAATCATCTGAAATAAAACAAAGCAATTGAATTTTTGAAAGTCACCATTTTATTTTTGAAAATAACTCAAATTTATTGCAATATCATACAAAACTCTGCAAAGCTTGTATGTGAATAAGGCCAAAAAAAAAATTGTTTTGTTGCTTTCAGCGACAGACCGAAAAATATAAAATATCGGGTCCCTTTTATTTTAATTTTTTTTTTAAAGGGCCTAAATATCAAAAATTAAAGATTCCGGACTGTTGTTTGATCCCTATAGTCCCCATAAGTGGAGACTTTGGACCTCGGGTTGATCTGTATTTTTCTGACATGTTCCAAAACCTTGTTATTTACGATACTCTTAGTTTTCACGAATTTAAAAAAAAAAAAAAAAAAAAAAAAAAAAATCCGACCGACCGTTCGACCGACCGACTGACTGACTGACTGACCCAATTTTTCGACTTGAGGGCAACATAAGTTTTTTTGTTGCTGGCCTAATGAGTATATGTAATCATTGTTGTTCTGGAGTTGTTTGAATTATCTCACCTCTTGTAATTGTTCCTGCTCCATACGAGGATGGAGCAGCGTAAACCCCGTGTTCTGCAGCTTACACCCATCAAGATGAAGATGTTTGTTGTACAATAATTCTTGATCAATAAATGGACTTAAAGGTGTGTTGATGATGCCCTCTGATTCACACACCCGTGACCACGGGTCCATGTGCTTTTCGTTACCTTCGTCCACTACATCTTGCATAGTAATCTACAAAGATTAAATATAAAGAGCCTAGGGAGTCTAATAGTGCTCATCGGATGCGATTGTACTGATAAAAAATGGTGCTCTGAAAGGGTAATGATACTAGGGAGTCCAATATAGTGCTCTCTAAAAGATTGAATATGCTTATACTAGGGAGTCCAATATAGTGCTCTCTAAAAAATTGAATATGTTTATACTAGGGAGTCCAATATAACTTTCTAAAAAGATTAAACATGTTCATACGAGGGAGTCCAATATAATGCTTTCTAAAAAATTAAACATGA